CTACTAGAACGTGTACATTATGATCTCTATGACAGAAAGTAAGGGATGTTACTACTTTTACAACCTTTTTTGGACACAAGCAGCACCGTTAGGCTTGGAGGGGCATTTGGCCCTTTCGCCAGTTCCTCCTGGTATTCCATGTTAGGTGACAGGTCCCACTCTGATCAGATTAGTAACTTCAAGTGAAGCTGCGAAATTGTTCGTGTGATCCCGTTTGGGCACGGAAATCTACAGGTCTTCTTAAGGTGGTCTGTACAGCCTAACGGAGTATCTTTTGGTACCCCAACCAAGCCAAACTTGCCCATATTTCTGCTTATTTATATTCATCTACTTGGTTTCATTTCCAGGCATGCAAAAACTCATGAACCATTAACTGACTGGGGAAGCGCAGTAGAAGCTCGGATAGAAGAAGTAAAATTTGAACTTATAACAAAAGAGATTCTTCTGTCAGAACTACGGCACCAATCGTAAGTTTGATTTATTCATAGTCTTCAGTTGAGCAGAGTCTTGCTTTATACGTTCTCTTTTTAGTATGTTGCAATGGCTCGCCGATTTGGTAAATCATGATTTCTCTGCTGATCCTGAAAGTGAGGAGCTACCAAAGCAATCGTTTCTCACAATGGCTGTCGCAAAGGTCAGAAAATTTCCGCTCAGACAGTGGTTACTCAGATAAAAGACTAAATTTCAGGCTGCTGAGGCGAGAGAGGAAGCTGCCAAAGAAGCCAATTCGGAAGATCTCACTGAAAGCGAGAAGAAAGTGCAAAAAGAAGAAAACGGTGCTGAAACTGTTGAAGTCCCCGCCGCGGAAGAAACATTACCAGAGGTATTGTCAGCACTTTGATAGTTTTCCTTGAGAGTCCTGTGATGGTGGTGAGAATGGTCACAACTAGGAGATATTTCTGGTTTTGGTTGAGACCACCGCTAAACGGTGGTTTCAACCAAATCCTGCCTTTGCATTCAAGGCTCTGACAAGAGCCATAACGCCGAAACGCTAGCTGAATGAAATTGTTATAACATCTTGGTTACGGCTATAGCAGCACCCTAGTGAAGTGGTACTGTGCTCCACTTCTGCTCTGATCAAAG